AGGAAAAATTAGAGGATAGAGGAGGGCTAGAAAATTTTTGACTTTCATATCCATATAAAAAGCTACATATTGAATTAGGTTTATAAACAACTTCCTTGTAGTATAGAAATTGTGTGTCTAAATTTCACTTGGACTGGATAAATAAGATAAAGCTCAAGAAGAAATCCAGACATGTCATACAGGATTTATGACAAAAATAATTGTCCTTTTTTATTTGATTATAGGATCGGATTTAAATTTTTTCAGAACATTCTACGAGCTCAAACCAGCCCTCTTGTGCCAACTAAGGTCAAAAGGACCTTAAATTAAATTCTGGAGATGTTTTTTTTTTAATTTTCTAATTATTTTACTTTTTTGGATTTTTTAACCAAGTTTTAGAGTTTGATTTGGTTTTTTCTATATATAGAGTGGTTGGTTTCAGCCATCATATGAACAGCTTACGTGTTATTTTTAACGTTAGACTTCATATTATTCCGATTTTATAAAACAAAGAGATTTTCTCTATAGTCAAGATTGAACTTCCAAGTTTGCTCAGGTTGGTTAATGGCTTGCATTCGACAAACTGACTGATCAGCACTGAGTTTCTAGTAACAAAGACTACAGCAATTGTCTGATGAATGCAATGCAGTCTACTAGAAGAAAAATTTCCAGTTGATAACAATCTGCTTGGCATTCAGAAACTAACATCAAACTTACAGAAAGATTAAAAAAACCATCCAAGAAGCTTTTATAAAATTTCCTATCCAGAAAGATTTTATGCTCTATATCTATCTTGAGTAGAAATTCTTGCTTGCAGAGAATAATTGTTTTTGGCGCATCACAGTTCATAGGGAGAAACAGCATTTTTACTACTTCAGCAGTACTCTTCCGCTCCTGCTTTCTTACCGGATACCATACATTTTGTCAGAAGTTCAATCGTTGCATCTAAGCAGATTAACATCATCGATGTTGCCAAGCCAATGTAAGAAACTACCAACCGATTCCTAGCCTAAAAAATTCTATAATTCATATCTAATATAGGCATAATTCATCTTGTAATGTTAAGAAGAAAGTAAAAACATGCAGTTACCTTGTATGAGGATCTGAAAACATGTTGGAACTCTGTATAGAAGGCTTACTGTCAGGATACAGGTTGCTAATGGCAGTACTGCACTCCAACCCTCCACCACTTGGAAGAGTTAGCATTTTTAGCAATTTGATTGAAAATCACTTCTCATGATACAAATGTGCTCAGCATTTTACTAGAAAGGTAAAAAGTCTTTAAAATCTAGATGGGTATTTTGAAAAAATCAGTTTCAATACTAAATTTTTTTATTTTTAGAGCTGTAAATTAGAGGAATTGACCTGTAATTTACTTTTTAGTATTTTTAAAGATTGAATTTTATTTAAAAGTCAATTGTTAACACGTTAAGAGGATTAAAAATATAAAATTTTATTGAAACATCTGAATTAAATTCAATTAAAAGGGTTTATAGTATAAAAAAATCAATTCCTATCATTGTGGAAGTTTAAAGCTATTCAAAGTTCAATTACAAGAATGTATTTCTTTTTTTTCTTTTCTTTTCTTTTCTTATTTTATTTTTGGATTGCAATTGAGTTCTTGTTTATTTGTTGGAAAGTAGTTTTTTAGTAATTTTTTTTAAAAATAAATTTTAAAAAATGAATTATTTTTTAATATTTGGTAGCATCATGAAAAATAAATTGAAAAATATTTTCCAGTGTTTAGTTATGTTATTAAAAATAAGCTGTAAAATAAATTATTAATATTTTTTAAAAAAATTATTAAATTATTAAGGAAAAAATCTTACAAATTAAAAGATTTAATGAAAATAAAATTGAAAAAAAAATCTAATTTCATAAATTATCTAAAATAAAATAAATAATAATAAAAATAATAAAAATCAAATATAACACATAAAAAAGTTGAAAGATGATGAAATGAAAAAAATTTATAATTTTATAAATTATTTCAAATAAAATAAATATAATCAAAAGAATAAGGACCAAATATGATAGATTTTAAGAGATGAAATTAAAAAATATATATTTAAAAAAAAATATATAGCAATCAAAAGTTTGAGAATTAAATTTGATATAACTAGTAAATAACATGATATTTTTAAATTTTTCACAATTTCTAGAAAGGTTTTTTGGCCTAAAATAAAAGGAAAATATTTTCCTGAAAACTAAGTCAAATTTTTTTTACTAAAAAGTATTTTTTGTTGAATAATTTTTCTAATAATAAACAACCATAAAAAAATTAAAAATTAATTTTAAAAAAAATCACTTTTTATAAAACAAAATTCATATTCTAGAACCCTTATACGATAATAAAAGTTTTGGATTTGCTAAGAGATAAATCATTAAAAAAAAATTAAAACTGCTCAGTCTTTCACTATAGCAATCCAGAGTGAAAGGCTGAGCTATTTCCTTTTTTCTTTTTTTTTTTTGAGCTATCTTTTTCTTAAAAAAACAGTTTTTTTTTCGTTTTTTTTGTTTTCTATGCCTTTTAGTTTGTTTTTCTTCTTTTTTTCCTTTTAATAATTTTTTTAATTTAGTTTGTTAATGTTAATTTTTTTATTTAGTTATCAAACTTCCATGACATTGATCCTGAGTTTAAAAGGTTAACTTGATTTAACGAGTTAATTCAAAAAAATTTTGTTTTTTTTTAATTAATTTTTTTGTTTACTTTAGTTTGTTAATGTTAAATTTCTTTTTATTTAGTTATCAGACTTTCATGATATATATCTCAGGTTTCACAGGTTAACCCAGTTAATTCTAGGTTAACCCATCCATTTTTTTTCTTTTGTTAATGTTAAATTTTTTTGATTTAGTTATTAGATTTTCATGATATAAATCTCGGGTTTAACAGATTAACCTGATTTGACGAGTTAACCCGGAGGTTTTTTCTATTTTTTTTTCTTTTTAATTAATTTTTTTGTTTAGTTTAGTTTGTTAATATTAAATTTTTTTGTATTTAATTATCAGACTTTCATAATACATATCTCAAGTTTTACGTATTAACCTGGTTTTACATGTTAACCCTGTTAATTATGGGTTAACCCATCCATTTTTGTTTCTTTTGTTAGTACTAAAAATCTTTTTATTTAGTTATCAGACTTTCATAACATGAATCATGGGTAAACGAGTTAACCTGATTTGACAAGGTAACCTGAAGTTTGTTTTTTACTTTTTTTTAATTAATTTTTTTTGTTTAATTTAGTTTGTTAATGTTAAATTTTTTTTCTATTTAACTATCAGACTTTCATGACACATATTCCGAGTTTGACGGGTTAACCAAGTTAATTTTGGCTTAACCCATTAATTTTTTTTCTATTTAATTATCATACTTTCATTACGTGAATTCTAGGTTTGATGGGTTAACCTAGTTTGAAGGGTTAAACCAGTTAATTTAGATTTTTTTTCCTTTTTATTCATTAGTTTTTTTCCTCTTATAGCTTTTTTTTTCTTTTTTCTTTTTAATTAATATTTTTTGTTTAATTTAGTTCATTAATATTAAAAAAATTTCCTATTTAGTTATCAATTGATGCCTTTAGTTTTTTTATTTTTTCATTTTTATGTATTTGACTTTGGACTGCACAATGCAGTTCATAGTAAAAAGGCTAATGCGTTTTTTTTTACTTTTTAATTTTTAAAAAAATTTTGGTTTGTTTATGTTAAATTTTTTTTCTATTTTGTTATAAGACTTTCAAGACATGGATCTCATGTTTAACAGGTTAGCCTAGTTAATTCATATTTTTTTTTCATTAGTTTTTTCTCCGTATAGGTTTTTTCTTCTTTGTTTTTCCTTTTTTTAACTAAATTTTTTAAATTTATTTTGTTGATATTAAAATTCTTCTATTTAATTATCAGACTTTCATAGCACAGATCTCAGGTTTGACGGGTTACCCGGTTAATTTAGATTTTTTTTATTTTTCTTCATTAGTTTTTTTCTTCCTATAAGTTTTTTTTCTTTTAATCCGATTAGTTTTTTTATTTTTAATTTTTATTTTGTTGCCTTTTTTAGGCCATTGACAATCTATAATGAAAACCGATGCCTTTTGTTTTTTTGTTTTCATTTTTAATTAATTACTTTTATTATTTTAGTTTGTTAATGTTAAATTTTTTTATATTTAGTTATCAAACTTTCATGACACGGATCCTGAGTTTAACAGATTAGCCCAGTTAATTCTAGGCTAACACGTCAATTTTTTTTATTTAGTTATCAAACTTTCACGACATGAATCTAATGTTTGACGGGTTAACCTGGTTTGAAAGGTTAACCCAGTTAATTCACATTTTTTTCTTTTTCTTCATTAGTTATTTTCTTCATGTTGATTTTTTTTTCAATGTTTTTTTTATCTAATCTATTTAATTATAACACTTTTATAATATGACCTTGCAGCCAAATCCACATTCAAGGTTATTGGGTTTGATATTGCAGCCAAACCCACTTAAACTTGAATCATACAAGTTTAATATTATTATTAATATTATAAATATTACTCTTAGATCAAGCGTTGTAGTCAAACTTAAGACTCTTGAATATAACTTTGCAGAAAAACTTAATACTTTTAGATTTTAACTTTTATAATATTTTTTTATACAAAAAAAATTGACTCGCGGCTTCGCACGGGTCATCTAACTAGTCCATGTCTAAAACAGATCATTCATACAAAATTATTTTCCACAAGTTTTAATCTATTTTTATATAAATAAAAATTTGTAATCTACTTTCACGGTATTGAAAAATAAGTTTTTCAAATCCTAAATTCATTTCAGTGAAGATCGGATTATACTAATATTTTGGATAATTTATTTATAAAAATATGAACAATAAAATTTATGAACATTGATAAAAAAAAAAAAAAAAGTAATTGAGATATGAAAATATACCAATTGAATTGATATAAAACCCATGGTTAAATAAATAAATAAATAAATAACAAAAAAGCATGCTTATCCTTATCCCCTATGCGAACAACCTAGCGCAAACTCTAATTTTTTTAAAAAAAATCAATTATTTTTCCTCAAAAATATTTTTAATAAAACTATTGAAAATGAGATTCCCTAAATCCTTGAAACGCGGAGCCAATTTTTGAACTCTCAACAACCCTCCAACTCCCCCCAAGTTGAGTCTCTGGTGAAAGCTAAGGAGGCTTTGGAGACTGAGTTGGCTCTGTCTAGTAACGAAAATAGTAAGTTGGAGACTGAGTTGGGTAAAATCAGTGATGGGAAAGTGAGTTTGGAGATAGAAAAGGGGTTGTTTTGTGTTTTTATTGAGACACAGATGGCTGAAATGGGTGGTTTTGCAGATGGTTTGGTGAGAGAAAAGAAAGAGAATGAAAATGAGATTGGGGTCTTGAAGAGTGAGGTTAAGGAGCTAAAGATGAGTGTTGAGGCTGAGAGAGATAGATTGAGTCGGGTTTGTCTCGACAGGGATCTGTTGAAGAGTGATGTTGATAATTGGATGAAGGAGGCTGATGGTTTGAAAGATAGAGTGATTGAATTAGAGAAGAGGGAGAGGGAGAGCGAGGAAGAGATTGAGAAACTGAAGAAAGAATATGCTTTGTTGGTTAAGGAAAAGAAGGATAGAGAGAAAGAAATCGAGGAGCTTAAAAGGTTGAGATGTTCGGCTGAGAATAATTTGATGGAGAAAGTGGAAGAAATTGAGTATTTGAAGCGAGAGATTGAGGAGATTGTGAGGGAAAGGAATGAGATTGGTGTTGAAAAAAGTGAGCAGAAGTTGAAGATTATTGAGTTGGAGAGAGAAGCAGGGGAACTTAATGAGATTATATCAAATTTGAGAAAGGAGGAGGGAATTTTGCGCAAAAAAGTTATGAAATTGGAGGAGACTTTGGGGGAGGCGCTGGAGAAAAAGAATGCAATGGCAAGGGAAATTGATGGTTTAATGGAAGAGAAGAAGGAAAAGGAAAGAACTATTATGCGGTTAATGGAGGAAAATGATGCTGCCCAGAAATATAAGATCATGGCTGATGCTGAAATTGAGGATAAGAAAGGATTGGTTCAGAAATTGTTGAGAGAGAAGAATGAGATTGAGGAAGTGAAAGTTATTAAGGAGGGTGAAATTGTGAAGCTGCATAAGGAGGTGGGTCATTTAAGGGATGATATTTTTTCGATGCAAGAATCCATCAAAGACCAGGAAGTTAAGTACAAACAAGTAGCTTCTGAAAATCTTCATTACAAAGGTGCTCTTGAGCAAGTAAGGCTTGAGAGGGATAATGCTCAAAAGAGTTTGGATGGAGAGAAAAAGAATGGCATGAATTTGAGGTCTAAAGTTTTGGAGATGGAGAAGAGAGTTGAAGAAACTGTGAAGGATTGTGCAAAGATGAAAAGCGAGCATGAGAGTCTGGTCAAGCAGAAGAAGGAAATGGAAACCCAAGTTTCTTTGCTGGAGAAGGAAAAAGATTTGGTACAAAAGCATCTCACAGAGGCAGAGGGGAAAATAATTGACTTGAGGAACAAAATGGAGTCAGCTGGCACTATTTCAGATAGAGCACTAACCATGTTGAAGAGCACTGTTGCATTGTTGTGTGAATCGAACAATGGAAAAGAAGAGATGACTGTTACTGAAAAGATGCTTGACAGTGAAATTGAACCATATGCAAGTGAGCTGGAAGTTATCAAGACTGCTTTTAGAAACAAGGACACGTTGGTGGAGGACATGAAGCAGCAAGTAGAATACCTGAGGGATTCTGTGGCAAGGGCAAAGAAGAAGAACGGCCTTTTGAGTGTAATGTCTTCGGCAACTACAGTTGTCGCTGCAGCAGTTTCTCTTGCATATGTTGCTAGAGTACGTTGATGATCAATTTTCCCTTTCTAGGCAAGTTGCTTTAGTTCTAGAATTAAGCATTGCTCAATCACGCTCTGCCTTAGGGCAGAGTTATGCCATCTTGGTACTCTTAACTTTCGTTTTAGATAATGTCTGAAAACCTGACATTGCAACAACTGGAGGTTTTTTCAACAGCCTAGTGGCAACTATCTGCATCTTGTTTATATGCATTGCATAATTTGTGGGAAATGTTCGACCACACTCTAGCACAATAAGCAGGGCATGTTTCGGGACGTTATTGTGCTCTACTAATAACTATAGTGGTTTAGTGAACTCTTTTGATTGCTCTAGTTCGGTTGTCTTGAATAACTGGTGTATATTTCCTACTTGCCATAACGGTTTCGAATGGCTCCTGAATAATTGGATTTCTTCCCAACCAGAAAGTATATATGACTGAATTAAAACCTTAGATCATTCTTGGACTGCTTCTCAGGAGTTCCAACGTACCTCAAATTTTTGGTTAATGTTTCATGTTGGTATAATATTGTATTATGAGAAATCCAGTGATTGTATTCAATGGAAACAAGATCCCTGGTTGTTCACATGTTTCTTTTCCGAAAAACATGGGTAGGAGAATGCAGCTAAGCTGTCATTTGCCCTGTTAGACTGTTACTGTTATATTTTGGCCCCTTTTTCGTAGCATCAGTCTTTTTGAATTTATGTTGCTATTATAGAGGCATGAAATTCTATACCAATTCTTAGAATTGTCATGTTCTTCGTTCCTCAACAAAACTTCCCTCAAGACTCCAGACTGTTATTAGTTATTGTGGTGCCAATGCTACGCTGGTTATACAGCTCATCTGTAACATAATGCTAAGCAAAGCATGTTGGGGAACCAGGTTGTGAAGATGCAGATTTGCGAAACTCCCTTCTTCCTTCTTTAAAAAAAAAAAAATGTTGATATGCTGGTGATTATCTGTTGGATCTGGTGGCGGTCTGAATCAGTGTTTTATGCTTTGCCAGCCACACTTCTAGAAATTATGGCAACAACAAATCAGTTCCTTTCAGAAAAGAAAAAAATTGGGCCTCCTCATCAGTTGTGTTCTGGGTCTTTTGCTCCCTTCTGAGGCCGATAATGCTGAGTGACCTGTATCAATAGTTAATCAAGAGGAATAAACCACAATCTAAACGGATTTCTAGCACAATCATAGATGTCCTGCTAGACTTCCTACTCATAGCTCGTGATTAAAGAGAACCCCACTTGAATAAGCAGTGGCTTTGATATTCTGCTAGAAAAATATCCCTTAAAAGTGGCTGAAACAATCGGCTTAATGGTAGCTAAACACCATAAACAAGCATTAACCATTTATATAAAACAAGCAAGATTTGCACACAATAAACTAATTTGTTTTTCCTTTGCGTCCATTGATATGAACAAGCTATCAATGTGATTAACTATGAGTATCCGAAGTCAATCAAACAAGCCTTTCATGTCTTTGTCAAGAGCTAGCTGTTATTTAACCATTACACAAACAAGTACTCATATTCCTTCTATTGGTGGTAAGTGGTTTTAATGTGGTCCCTCTAGACATGTCCAAATTCCAACCACCACTAAATGGGCTTGTATCTTTCAAAACAAGCCGATTTTTGTATTTTCTCTGCCATTCAAGCCCTCAAATTATGCATCGACAACACGCCGTCAAGAAATGCCAAGAAAAGATCAAATCAATCTTTATCAACAGCAAAAATGGAGTACTTGGAATTCGCTTCCAATCATTTGTTGCAATACCCCCGCATCCTTTTGTAGGGATAGATTTGAGGCCAGGGTAACAGAATTTAGTGGACTAGAAGGCAGCACGCTTCGATGCCTCTTTCCACTTGCTTCCCAATTATCCAAAAACAATCTATACTTGTATGCCATGTTAGTGTTAAATCTTATTTGGTATCAAAGACATCCTGCTGCATTATTGTTGCCTGGTGAAAGCCGGACTTTGGGTCTAGAGCAGACAGCTGCTTGTAAATGTCATTGTTACAAACTGTCCTTTAGTGAAGTGCTCCAGGAACCTTTGTTTTTATCTCTTTGTTCATTCTAGCATCTTGTATAGCTTCATAATTCAAGGTAGGAAGTACAATTAACTGTAGAAATAGCACTCCCTTGTAAAAAAACTTTCCAGCTCAAACTACACATTATTCACATGTTGCCCACTTTGCTTTTGGTTAGAACTCAGAAACGTACCTACAAACACAACAGACAAGCCTGCAGAGTTTTGGATGACTTACAGACTTGGTCCCATATCTTTGCGTTATATTTACACAACTAACCATCACAGTGATCTGAGAGTGGTTTCAGCCTCGACCATGGTCAGTTTCAACAACACACTACAGCAAAACAATCGAGATTGATGATGCTCATTATCCAGATACTGTCCGTCCAGACAATCACATTTGGGTTAACTGTGCCTTGCAAAGGGTCTTCAAGAAATAAAACAGAAGGAGCTGCAGGTCTTCCGCAAGCTTGAGTCATCTGTATACGTACATTATCAAGGTGGCTTTACATTAGAAGACATTAACAGAGCTGAAGTTATTTAGGGGCCCACAATTCCGCAACCGCTTTCAATCCTGAACATAAAACCTTGTGTGATTCTCACAGCATAACAATATAAGACCTGGTCTTCGGTCCAAAATACAGTCAGTCTGTAACAAGATAGGATATGGAAGAACAGATACGCTCCTCTGACAGTTACCAGGCCTCAATTTTGGAGGTATATACTTGCATGCTCGACATTATCAGATTCAGATGAAGGTTCATCAACAATGCTATGACAAACTCTTAAATAAGGAATCTAAAGTTAACTTAAACGGGAATACCTGATAATTTCTAAATTCGCAATAACAGTCATATTTACAGTTGCCATTAGATTGTGAAGAAGAAGAAATCAAAGAGAACAATACATGACAAAAAAGAAAAGGCAAAATCGAGTGCGAAAGAAAAGATAAGCAAACACCTTTATATATACTAAATCATATCTATAAACATACAGGATCACAGTACCATGGACTTTCTTCCTATCCATGTTCTAAAATTAGCCATATAACATTAGTGAGGTTTCGACCCATAGACCACAATGGATCAGCCACCAAATATAAACTCAGTAGTTCTGTCTTCCTCTCCTTTGGGGCTGGAAGTCAGAAAAGGTAACCTTAAATGTGGTAGGTCTGCGAAACTGAGTGAGACAGCCCCCCACTGCTACTAAAGCTTCAAAAACTACACCACTCGAGTTCAGGAAAATGGATATATAACAGAACATATTCCGAACAAGCTAGACACTGAGCCACCTTCTGCACCCAATAACAGAACCCAGATGTTTCGGAAACTTGAAGAACTGGACCTTAGAGTAGCAGAATGCAACAATGTATGATCAATAAAACAGAAAGTACTAACACTACACAATCATATAAACAGCAAACAACACGTAATTAGCCAAAGAGGAATCGTCAAGCTTCGGTCAAGTATGGCTTCCGGTTGGTATAGTTAACCCTATTAGCAGTTAGGACTCACAAATTCACTTATCTCATTCATCACTGTATGGAAGTGATTGTTATTGGGTAACAAGTAGAACCCTATTGTTGCTTGCTCCAGATATAAAAGTTTCACATCTTGACCAGCCTTCTTGAGACCTTCAGCATATGCCAATTGCCAGTCCTGAACAAGATCTAAGCCAGCCACCACAACAAGACTCTTGGGGAATTTCATTCCCTCGAGGCTTTTACCTTTTGGACCAAATGGATTACATGCTGGATGGTCCCTATCTTCTCCTTCAGGAAGAAATGCTCTCCAGTACCAATCTCGGTCCTGGAGAGTTACAAAATATTTGCCATCTAATCGCTTCTCCGATTCTGTTCTCTCTTTCCCACCAAACATTGGGTTCAG